CCTCGTCCCCACCTCCCTTGCCACCGCCGGATGGTGCTGACGGGCAAAGCCCGGTTGGCGCGGCGGCGGCGGGCCCCTTCTTCTCTCTGCTTGGAGTGGCCGGGACAGGACGGCGGCTCCTAGTGGCGGCACGCGGCTGCCGCGGGGCCCTGCGGCGCAGCGGTGGGCGCATGCGGCGGCGACCGAAGGCGGCGCGTCGGCGTCGCGCGCCTGGTGAAGCGTAGCGGTTGCGGTGCTCCGGGTTGGGAGGCGGCGTGCGGGCGAGGCTCTGCCCAGATCCGATCGATCTGGCGCAGGGGCTTGGTCGGTGATGTCTACTACGTAATTTTATTCTTGTAGACACGTGTTGGGCATCCAAGCGCGGAGTTTTGTAGGACTGCAGCAATTTTTCCTCAAGTGGATGACCTAAGGTTTATCAATCCGTGAGAGGTGTACAATGAAAATGGTCTCTCTCAAGCGACCCTGCAACCAAATACAAGAAATCTTTTGTGTCCCCAACACACCCAATAACATGACAAATTATATAGGTGCACTAGTCCGACGAAGAGATGATGATAAAAGTGTAATATGGATGGTAGAAATATATTTTTGTAATCTGAATAAATAAAAACAGCAAGATATCAAATAGTAATCGGGCACAAAAAGGTATTGCAATGCTTAAAATAAGGCCTAGGATCCATACTTTCGCTAATGCAATCTCTCAACAATGCTAACATAGTTGGATCATATAATTATCCCTCAGAATGCAATAAAGAATCACTCCCGAGTTCCTATTAGCGGAGAACAAAAGACAGAAATTATTTGTAGGGTACGAGACCATCTCAAAGCTATTCTTTCCGCTCGATCTATTCAAGGGTTCATACTAAAATAACGCAAAGCTATTTTTCCGTTCGATCTATCCTAGAGTTCGTACTAGAATAACACCAAAGCATATTCATATTCATAATACTCAATCCACACAAAGAACTACAAAGAGACCCCAAAGTTTCTATCGAAGAAAAGATAATAAAAGTATGCATCAACCCCTATGCATAGATTACCCCAATATCACCGCGGGAATCCGCAAGTTGAGTGCCATAACATATATCAAGTGAATCAATATGATACCTCATTGTCACCTCAAGTATTCATACCGCAAGACATACATCATGTGTTCTCATATCTGAATATTCAATCCGACAAGACAAAATTTCAAAAGGTAAAGATTCAATTCATCACAACAAGGGTATAGATGGGAGAAACATCATATAATCCGACTATATTAAAAAAGCCTATGATATAGATCACAAGAGAGAGAGAGAGAGAGAGAGATTAAACACATAGCTACTGGTACAAACCCACAGCCCCGAGGGTGGACTACTCCCTCCTCGTCGTGGTGGCCGCCGGGATGATGAAGATGGCCACCGGAGATGATTCCCCCTTCCGCCAGGGTGCCGGAACGGGTCTAGAGTTGTTTTCGGTGGCTACGGAGCCCTACGGCGGCGGAACTTCTGATTTAGGTTAACCCCGAGGGGTTTTGGAATATTTGGGAATTTATAGTGCAAAGAAGGGGTACGGGAGGCCACCGAGGTGGGCACAACCCACCTGGGCGCGCTAGGGGCCCTGGAGCGCCCTGGTGGGTTGTGCCTCAAGATGGCAATGGGGCCCCGAAACCCGCGTCCCCGTGGGTTTCTACCCTATTAGGGGACGGGGATGGGAGAGTTTCCATCCCCGTGGGGCTACTCGTGGGTACATTATAAAACCCGGCATGTTTCGTGGGTTTAAACCCGTTTAAGTACTACCCGAACCCGAAACCCGACAAAACCCGTCAAAATACGTTTTTTTAGCATGCACCGATCCATCTTGACAGCGTCGAGGCCTTGGAGTACAAACCAACCCCTCGCTCGGTTGCTGCACTGTCGCTCTCTCTTCAGGCCTCTCTCTCCCGCACAACACAACACCTAAACCTATACATAAGTCCCTAGTCGTCGTCTGTTGCTGTAATATGCTCATGCTTTTCTTTCAAATGTTATTGTTTTCATTGACTGCTCGTGGGGGCGGGTTCCCCGTGGGTTTAGAAAAACCGACGGGTTTAGGGGACGGGCAAAAATTTAACCCCGCGCACGTTGATGGGGACGGGGATGGGTTTGCGATTTTCTCGTGGGGATGTGTTTGGGCAAGCAAAACCCGGTGGGTTTCGTCCCCGTTGCCATCTTGAGTTGTGCCCCCCTCGGGGCACCCCCAGGTGCTGCTCTGGCCCATCGGGAGTCTTCTGGTCCATAAAAATCCACAAAAAGTTTTGTGGTGTTTGGACTCCGTTTAATATTGATTTTCTATGATGTAAAAAAACAAGCAAAAAACAGCAACTGGCACTGGGTGCTGGGCACTGGGTCAATAAGATATTCCCAAAAAATGATATAAAGTTGCTATAAAATGATTATAAAACATTCAAGAATGATAAAATAACAGCATGAATACTTCATAAATTATAGATACGTTGGAGACATATCAGCATCCCCAAGCTTAATTCCTACTCGTACTCAAGTAGGTAAATGATAAGAGAAATAATTTATGAAATGTGAATGCTAGTTAAGTGCATAAGTTTGATCAATGATAATTTCAATCACTTTTCCTAGCATCATAACAACAATTCTTTCTTATAATACTTCTCATGTTATAGTAGCAACCAATTCACATGTTAAGGTTCAAAAATTGAATTCTCTTGAAATCCAACAACCTATATTCTCAGTCACCAAGCAATTGCAATTCAACTTATTCAACAGAGTTTAAGTAAGAGCTCCACATACTCAACCATCATATAGTCTTTGCTAACACTCACCTTGTACACATGAGCAAAACGTTTCAACCGGACACATAGAAAGATAGGGTCTTATTGTTTTGCCTCCCGATTCACCTCAAGGGTGATGTAAACCATAATAACTCATGCTACCCATATCTAACTGGACATATATGCCTAGATCTTTCCTCACCACATGATGCTTACCAAAATATAATATAAAAAGAAATAGAGAGGAATACTTAGAATCTTTGCATAAAGTAAATACTGAAAAGTAAAAGATAGGCCCTTCGCAAAGGGAAGCAGAGGTTGCCATGCGCTTATTTGTTTGTATGCTCAATCCCTTGGTGCAAAAGAACGACACGTTATATTGCCCCTTGTGATAGCTGTTGGGTTTCGTAGTAATTTCAAAAAAATTCCTACGCACACGCAAGATCATGGTGATGCATAGCAACGAGAGGGGAGAGTGTGATCTACGTACCCTTCTAGATCAACAACGGAAGCGTTTGGTTGATGTAGTCATACGTCTCCACGATCCGACCGATCAAGCACCGAAACTACGGCACCTCCGAGTTCTTGCGCACGTTCAGCTCGATGACGATCCCCAGACTCCGATCCAGCAAAGTGTTGGGGAAGAGTTCCGTCAGCACGACGGCGTGGTGACGATCTTGATGCACTACTGTCGCACTGCTTCACCTAAGCACCGCTATAATACTATCAAGGACTATGGTGGAAGGGGGCACCGCACACGGCTAAGAATATGATCACGTGGATCAACTTGTGTGTCTAGGGGTGCCCCCTGCCCCCGTATATAAAGGAGCAAGGGGAGGAGGCCGGCCGGCCCTATAGGCGCGCCAAGGAGGAGTCCTCCTCCTAGTAGGAGTAGGACTCCTACTAGGAGGGGGAAGGAAGTGGGGAGGGAGAGGGAAAGGGGGGCGCCGCCCCCCCCCCCTCTCCTAGTCCAATTCGGACTAGGGGGGAGGAGGCGCGCGGCCCACCTTTGGCTGCCCCTCTCTCTTTCCACTAAGGCCCATATGGCCCATTACTTCTCCCGGGGGGGGGGGTTCCGGTAACCCTCCGGCTCTCCGGTTTTCTCCGAAATCACCCGGAACACATCCGGTGTTCGAATATAGCCGTCCAATATATCAATCTTTATGTCTCGAACATTTTGAGACTCCTCGTCATGTCCGTGATCACATCCGGGACTCCTAACTAACTTCAGTACATCAAAACTCATAAACTCATAATATAACTGTCATCGAAACCTTAAGCGTGCGGACCCTACGGGTTCGAGAACAATGTAGACATGACCGAGACACGTCTCTGGTCAATAACCAATAGCGGAACCTGGATGCTCATATTGGCTCCTACATATTCTACGAA